GGGAATCCAAATTTTACATAGAAATATATAGAACAAATCTTTTAAAAATCTTCTTCTCAAGAACCACTGGGCCAGGAAAGCTGAAACTTAAGTGGAAGCATCCTTGGGTAGTGTAGATATTAAATTGTTAAAATCATGACCCCCGTGGGTAGGGCGGGGCCACAATAGGGAATCCAAGTTTTACATAGAAATATATAGAACAAATCTTTAAAAATCTTCTTCTCAAGAACCACTAGGCCAGGAAAGCTGAAACTTATGTGGAAGCATCCTTGGGTAGTGTAGATATTAAATTGTAAAAATCATGACCCCCGGGGGTAGGGCGGGGCCACAATAGGGAATCCAAGTTTTACATAGAAATATATAGAACAAATCTTTTAAAATCTTCTCAAGAACTACTGGGCCAGGAAAGCTGAAACTTAAGTGGAAGCATCCTTGGGTAGTGTAGATATTAAATTGTTAAAATCATGACCCCCGGGGGTAGGGCGGGGCCACAATAGGGAATCCAAGTTTTACATAGAGATTTATTGAACAAATCTTTTAAAATCTTCTTTTCAAGAACCACTAGGCCAGGAAAGCTGAAACTTATGTGGAAGCAATCCTTGAGTAGTGTAGATATTAAATTGTTAAAATCATCACCCTCGGGCATAGGGCGGGCGGGGCCACAATGGGGAATCCAAGTTTTACATAGAAATATATATAGAACAAATCTTTTAAAAAGATCTGCATCACCCAAGTTACTCAGGTGAGCGATGTGGCCCATGGGCCTCTTGTTTAAGTCTTGAGTTCATCTATTTGGACTTTAATAGGTGTATTAACATTAAAATAATGCTCCATAAACAAACAGCTTAGATATGTGTAATATTGACCTTCTGTAAAATCCTATCAAAAGTGTAATGTCAGATGACTATATTCTTTTGCTAAAAATGGTCCTTTAATAACATAAGTTATCTCTGTTGACCATAGGTATTTGAGGTATGGTAACAGAGAGAAAATTGCCAAGGAACTCAAGTTTGGGGACATTGTTGAGCGTCACCTGATAGATAATGACATTGTCCTGTTTAACCGACAGCCATCTCTTCATAAACTCAGTATTCAAGCATTCTATGTGAGTATTCTATATTTTGGAGTTTATGTACAAATCCATTTTTTGGTTGATTTCATATGATATACAATAACAGTATCTTTGCAAGTCAAAAAGCATATTAAAATCATGATCACTTCAATATAGTTTTATCTTTGCTGATTTGGCATTTAATGTCATTGCAGGCCAAAGTTATGCCTCACAGAACTTTCCGGTTCAATGAATGTTGTTGTAACCCTTTCAATGCTGACTTTGATGGAGATGAAATGAATCTACATTTACCACAGACAGAGGAAGCCAAAGCAGAGGCAATCACATTAATGGGGGTTAGTTTATAAAAAAAAATCTGCAAATCTTTTAAGTGGAATATTTTAAAGAAATGATGAAATAATCAATGTTGACATTTCCGGGCATAATACTTGTACCTGCATTGATTTTCTTTTCAGTCAAAATCAAATATAATCACTCCAAGGAATGGAGAACCTTTGATTGCTGCTATCCAAGACTTCATCACTGGTAAGTTATGCAATAATACTGCATAGTTGCAAAAGTTTCTTACGAAAAACTCTTACCAGATAATAAAACAGTAAAAATGGTGTTTGTAAGAAAGTGCATATTGTCAAACTTGTCATCTTTGTTAGGCATCAGCAAGTCTACTCATAGTTGTAAGCATGGAGAGATTTGCTTGTCCAATGCCAATTACCCTGTCAGAATTTTGAATGCATTGTCATTGGTTATTCCCAGGTGGCTACCTCATCACACAGAAGGACGTGTTTGTGGATAGAGCCAGGGCCTGTCAGTTGATATCAGCCATGTTGTCAAACCGAGAGACCAATCTTAAGATTGACCTTCCCCCTCCTGCCATTATCAAAGTAAACTTTTAAACAATTTTGATTTATGTCGACTTATTTTGGGGGACAAAGAAATGGTTTTTTTTTTTAAATAAGTAGATGAAGAATTCATCATCCCTTTGAATGACATTAGCACTTCATTATCTTCATGGATCAGAACTATTACTTAAGTTGTGCTCACAAACAGCTATCCATTAAATTAACAAAATGGGAGGTGATATTATAAAAGACATAAAAATGATTCTTTATCATTTTGAACAGCCTATGAAACTGTGGACAGGGAAGCAGATTTTTAGTGTTCTTCTGAGGCCCAACAAAGACTCTCCTGTCAGAGCTAACCTGAGAACAAAGGGAAAGAACTACTCCAAAGGGGAAGATCTGTGTGTGAATGATTCTTGTGAGTTGAGTCCCTTTGTAGAGAATGTTGTGCATCATAATATTTGAATGACCATGACCATGCAAAACATTAATACAGTTACTTTAATACTTAGTACTTTCATTCTTTAAATTATGAAGTTAAGAACAAGACAACTGTATAGTACACCGGTATGTCTACTCTTTTCTTATCTAGACCACATAATTTTGAAATTAGATTTCTGTCTGTTTTAGTTGTGGTAATTCGGAACAGTGAGCTGTTGTGTGGTTCTATGGACAAAGGCACTCTGGGTGGTGGATCTAAGAGTAACATTTTCTATGTGATCCTGAGGGACTTTGGGGAACAGGAGGCAGCTGATGCTCTATCTAGACTGGCCAGACTTTGTCCTGCTTATCTTAGTAAGGATAGGGTTTTCCAAGCTACATGTATATATAAGACTTCTTAAAATGATCTTAAAAATAGCATATCTCCGCTTTATACTAGGCTAGATCAACATACTTGCAGGAAGTTTAATCATTTTTTAGCTCACCTGAGCCGAAGGCTCAAGTGAGCTTTTCTGATCACATTTTGTCCGTCCGTCTGTCTGTCCGTCTGTAAACTTTTCACATTTTCGACTTCTTCTCAAGAACCACTGGGCCAATTTTGACCAAACTTGGTACAAAGCATCCTTGGGTGAAGGGGAATTTAAATTGTTAAAATGAAGGGACATATACCCTCGCAAGGGGAGATAATCAAGAAAAGACAAAAATAGGCTTGGGTCATTAAAAAATCTTCTTCTCAAGAACCACTGGGCCAGTAAAGCTGAAACTTATGTGGAAGCATCCTGGGGTAGTGTAGATTCTAAATTGTTCAAATCATGACCCCCGGGGGAAGGGCGGGGCCACAATGGGGAATCAAAGTTTTATATAGAAATATATAGGAAAAATCTTTGAAAATCTTCTTCTCAAGAACCACTGGGCCAGAAAAGCTGAAACTTATGTGGAAGCATCCTGGTATAGTGTAGATTCTAAATTGTTCACAACATGACCCCCGGGGGAAGGGCGGGGCCACAATGGGGAATCAAAGTTTTACATAGAAATATATAGAAAAAATCTTTGAAAATCTTCTTCTCAAGAACCACTGGGCCAGTAAAGCTGAAACTTATGTGGAAGCATCCTGGGGTAATGTAGATTCTAAATTGTTCAAATCATGACCCCTGGGGGAAGGGCGGGGCCACAATGGGGAATCAAAGTTTTACATAGAAATATATAGAAAAAATCTTTGAAAATCTTCTTCTCAAGAACCACTGGGCCAGTAAAGCTGAAACTTATGTGGAAGCATCCTGGGGTAATGTAGATTCTAAATTGTTCAAATCATGACCCCCGGGGGAAGGGCGGGGCCACAATGGGGAATCAAAGTTTTATATAGAAATACATAGGAAAAATCTTTGAAAATCTTCTTCTCAAGAACCACTGGGCCAGAAAAGCTGAAACTTATGTGGAAGCATCCTGGTATAGTGAAGATTCTAAATTGTTCAAATAATGACCCCCGGGGAAGGGCGGGGCCACAATGGGGAATCAAAGTTTTACATAGAAATATATAGGAAAAATCTTTGAAAATCTTCTTCTCAGGAACCACTGGGCCAAAAAAACTGAAACATATGTGCCCATGGAAGGATCATGGGGTAGTGTAGATTTCAAAATGTCTAAATTATGATCAGTGGGGTAGGGTGGGTATGCATTATGTATAACAAGGGGGAAATCTGGTAAAGAACAGAATGGTCAAAGCTTCTCAGGTGAGTAATGTGGCCCATGGGCCTCTTGTTTGAGAATTATTTATTTATTTGTTTATTAATGTCTTTCTGTAGGTCATAGAGGCTTCTCCATTGGAATAGGGGATGTAACTCCTGGTGCTGGATTGATTAAAGCCAAAAATAATCTTTTGGATGATGGGTACAAAAACATAAATAAAATACACGTTAAAATCAAAAAACAAAGAGGCTTTATTAATCTTAATGAAACATAACAGTAGTAATGTAAAGATTAATGGATTTCTGTTATAGGTACAGAAAATGTGATGGGTTCATCCGAGATTTAGATGAGGGTAAACTTCAGACTCAGCCTGGCTGTACTGAAGAAGAAACCTTAGAGGTAAGTGTAGTTAAGGGGCTTAAACAGTAAAAAACATGTAAGAATAAATAGATTTTGTTATGTATATGCATATTTGGTGCTTGAAGTAATATGATTACCGTACTGAGTCAGGTTTCAAAACAGGGCTCGAAATTCACGATAAACTACTCGCAAAATACGAATCAGAATATCCAAATTGCGAGTTGAATTATTTGTAACTCGTAAAAATTTGCATGTTTTTTTTTCATTGTAATTTTCACCCAGGAAAGAAAAATCTTTTGCAACCCAGTTTAAGTCTTTCTCTTCAGTTACTGTTTATATCTGCCATTTTTAAATGAACAAGCATGTGCCATTTGATGATCATTTTAAAGGATGGATAGATGGCTGTTTATTTTTGAAAAGCTTTTATTTTAAAATTGCGAGTTGTCTTTTGAAATTGCGAGTTCATTTTTATGGTACTCGCAGTTACCTGCGAGTTATAATTTTACAGAGTTGACTACATCTTTGTTTTGTAGGCTATGATTCTGCGAGAGCTGTCTGTTATTAGAGACCATGCTGGAAAAGCCTGTCTCAGAGAACTACACAAAAGTAACAGTCCACTTAACATGGCCATCTGTGGTTCTAAAGGTGAATGTCCACCAGAATAAGAATAAATTGGAATATATTACCACATCAAAAATTCTAACAAAAGTTTTCTTCCAAAGTTCAGTGTTGTTATGTAAAATGATTGCTGATGCATTGTTTCATGTTATTACATGCATAATATATTGGTTTAAACATTAGATTAAATTGCTTATCATTAGCTTCTTGATTTGTTTTCTTCATTAGGTTCCTTCATCAATATTTCTCAGATGATTGCTTGCGTAGGACAGCAGGCTATTAGTGGAAAGAGAACACCCAATGGATTTGAGGACAGGGCTCTGCCGCATTTTGAGAAATTCTGTAAGTCGGAAACATTTGCTTATTTTTCTCTTAAAATGTAGAGTCATTTCAGAATATTTATTATGCAAGAATCTATTATGCTCAATTTAATGAAGAATTTGATTTTGTTGTTGTAAATTTTCAGTTCCTTGGAGCTGAGTATGTATTGAATATCATGATATATAACATTTCATATGAAAAAAAGATATCTATCTTTGAATTCAGCTAAGGACCCTGCAGCTCGAGGGTTTGTGGAGAACAGTTTTTACAGCGGACTGACCCCCACAGAGTTCTTCTTCCACACAATGGCCGGAAGAGAGGGCCTTGTGGACACCGCAGTCAAAACAGCAGAAACAGGATACATGCAGCGACGACTCGTCAAAGTATGCCAAAAATTTTTTTTCTTTTCTCTAAAAGTCACCTTCATATGTTTATGATTGTACATATCCACTGTACTTACATGCTGTATTGTATACACCAAGTTTAATTTTAGAGTACTTTTATGAAATTGGGATATTGAAGCATGCAAATTCAGATGTGTATTTTTTTTCCAGTTCTAATCAATCACAATTTTAAAGCTTTTAAAATACTGTTAATATAAAAATTGCTATATGTATGATAATCGTATCATATCTATAGATAAATACATGTATGTGCTTTGAAATATTTTTCTCTCTCCATTCAGTCTTTGGAGGATCTTTGTTCCCACTATGACCTGACAGTCAGAAGCTCCACCAATGACATTGTACAGTTTGTGTATGGTGGAGACAGTCTAGACCCCGCCTCCATGGAGGGAAAGGACCAACCAATCGACTTCAAGAAAGTCTATGATCACGTCAAGGTTTGATTGTTTACAATTTCTTAACTCACTCGTACATATATGTACTGTAAACAGATTCTCTCTTACTCAAATAAAGTTACTCAATTTTTAATAAAAAAAATTTAAAAGAAATATATTGCATACTGTAAACCAACTTTTATTCGCGACAACTTTATTTATCGATTTACTAGGGGGTTACCAGTTTGCGACGATTAATTTTCGCAATGAAGCCTTTTTGAATCTGTTGTTAATAGACACGGAGACTATAAGGACTGGTTTGCTGAGAGAAATATTCGTGATGACAAGGCTCTCGCAAACCTCGCGAAAATTACTTGCACGCGAATAAAAGTTGGTTTCAGTAATTATATTGTATTTTGAGTGAATATTTAAACTAAATTCTGTCACAGGCAATGACAGAAAATAATTTAAATAAAATATAGAGGCTAATTTACTCAAAATACTCAAATCTGTTAAGCTTTTTTCAAATAGCGCAATCTAAACCTGTTCTCTAGGACAACCAGCAAAATATACACTTCCACACTATTCTTTAATGTTGTTACAATGTACACGAATGTTAACTTTATATATTTTAACTTCCATGACTACTTTAATTTTCTCTAGGCTAACACCAGAAGCAGTTTCCGAGATGAACCTTCTCTGTCTGGGACTGAGCTACAAACACTGGTCAACACCATGTTACAAGAAGACAAGTACAAAAGCTGCAGTGAGGATTTTAAAGATGATTTGATGTAAGTATATTCTTTTATTTAAAAGTATTTCTTATGTTTCACGACTTGTTTGATCTGTTGATCTGCGTCTGTCAACTTGACGTGAATTAAGCCACCCTTTGGTTCAAGTTACTGTTATATTAATATAAATATAGTATTTATGAAAGATAAGCCTTATTTGATCTTTTTGCAGAAAATTCATAGAAACAGTGGGTTCAGACATTGACTTGGCAAGAGAAAGGTTTGGAATAGTTGATGCACAGCAAGATAAATTACCTCCAGGTAGGTTAAGTAATTAGAAGCATGATTTCTCTCTAGACTTAGCAATAAAATATAATGTCAAGTAATACATTGTATCACATAAAATTATAAGCCATCTTTACAGTTTTGTTTGAGCTGAACAGAGTGACACCATCCCAAGTGAAACATTTCCTGAATGTGTGCAGGGATAAATTCATGAAGGCACAGATAGAACCAGGTAATATAAATGGATTAGGGATTATCTCAGGAAAAGAGTAGGTATGGGATTATCTGAAATAAAATAGAACAAGGAATGGGATAAATTCAGAAAGAACCAAGTATCAGTAATAAGAATGGATTTGGCATTATGTCAAATAGAACTAGGTAATAAAAATGTATCTGACATTTTGAATTTAAAAAAGGAAAATCAACAGCATTTGCTGCAATTGTTTTTTTTTTTTTTTTTTTTTTTTTTTTGCAAAAATTGGCAAATACTGTTATCATGTTTATAATTTCTTTCCCACTGTCTATTGCATTAAAGTATTATATTATGGATAATTTTTTTGAATTAAAGTAGTCACTGGAGGATTTCTCTACATCCAAGCATGCTTCTTCAGTACTATTTGTTGTGTCTTTTTAAAAAAGAGATAGCAGAGATAGACAAATTGTTGTTTCTCTTATTATTTAGGAACAGCAGTGGGTGCTGTCTGTGCACAGAGTATAGGAGAGCCAGGAACTCAGATGACTCTGAAAACTTTCCATTTTGCTGGGGTGGCTTCCATGAGTATCCTTTTGTTTGCCATAAATAGCAGTAGTTTAACGATACATGTACATATGGCTCTTAATTCATGTACAGTGTATATTGTAATAGTGTGCAGATACATAAACATATTTTATTCCTTAAAATCATGCTAGACATCACCCAGGGAGTACCAAGAATCAAAGAAATTATCAATGCCTCAAAGAACATAAGTACCCCCATCATAACAGCAGAACTTATGGTGAATAATGACCCCGAGTTTGCTAGAGTGGTCAAAGGGAGGATAGAGAAAACCACTCTAGGGGAGGTAATCCATTGGATATGTATTATTTTTGTTCTACAGTGGTAAAAATAATATAGATAAAAAATTAGAATGATCATATAAATAAATGTACATGTGTTTAACTATTTATGTTTATTTGAACAGGTGTCAGAATACATAGAGGAGGTTTTCATACCAGATGACTGCTTTATTCTTGTGAAGCTAGATTTGGATAGAATAAGACTGCTCAAGGTACAAAGACCCACTCCACACTCTTAAAAAATTACAAAAAATGTTGTTTACAATGATTTCGTTAACATTTATTTTTTGTGTTCTCTTTATCTAGTTGGAGGTGAATGTTGAGAGCATTAAAGAATCCATTTGTACAAGTAAACTGAGGGTCAAGCCTCAGGTAAGAATTGAGTTCATTGTCAGTTTCTTTTATGTCCTTCTTTAGGTCCTAAATTGATTCAATTTCTTTTTTGAAAATCTTGTAAAACAGTTTACATATTTAAAAAAAGCAACAGCAGATGACAGTACATCTTTTTATTTTTGCAGGATGTACAAATTCATAGCTCAGCTATACTCAGCGTGAGGCCCAGGGAAACATCAAAGAGTTCACTGTACTACATACTTCAGATGTTAAAGAAAGAACTGCCCTCTGTCATGATCAAGGTACATGGAAGCATATACTACATGTACTACATATTTTTGACGTTAATATTTAGCTCACTACCTAGGCCATACAAAGTTAATTACTTGGTTCTCAGGCCTTTTTTCAAGAAATATGATGAGGGAGGGAGGCATTTTTTTTTTCTTTTTTATTGCCGCCAAAACATGATGAGGCAGCTTTTTACATTGTACAAAACCTCAAAAAATGATGAGGGAGGTGATTTGGTGTTTATATTTTATTGATTTAGCAATAAAAAGGGTCAATGAGGCACCCTTGGAAGAGATGAGGGAGGGCCTGAGAACCAAGAAATTAATTTTTTTTTGCCCTAGAATGATATTTTAATAAACAGATGCTAGTATAAAAGATGTACAGAAAACGTTCAAGAAACAGATGAAACAGATATGGAAATTTTCTTTAAAATACAGGGAATTCAGAATGTGACAAGAGCAGTCATACATATTGATGAGAAAAAGGGAGACACCTATAAACTCCTAGTAGAGGGAGACAATTTACGAGCTGTCATGGCAACACCAGGTATTTTGAATTTATGTCATACAAGATTAAATAACTCATATACATGTACATGTATATTAGAATGGGAAATAACATTAGTTTTGTTAAATGTTTTAGGAATTAAGGGGACACATGCCTCTTCAAATAATACCTTTGCCATGGAGAAGACACTGGGTATTGAGGCAGCACGTACAACAATTATGAATGAAGTTAACTACACAATGTCTAGTCATGGAATGAGTATTGATATCCGTCACGTCATGTTACTGGCAGATTTGATGACATTCAAGGTAAAATTAAAAAAAATGATTAAAATACCTATACTTAGCAAAGTAAAGCATGTGAATTTGAATTGGAAGAATACACACTATGCATGAACTAGTGCTCAAATGAGAATTCTACGTGAGGTGAAAGACATATCTCCTTCATCTGACATCTAAGGTTAATAATAATAAGGGACAATGTTATTGCACAGCTTACAATTTATGTAACAATTGCAACAATAGATAAAGACCTTTGTATTTTGTGAACAGGGTGAAGTTCTTGGCATCACTCGCTTTGGATTGGCAAAAATGAAGGAAAGTGTTCTCATGTTGGCATCAGTGAGTATATAACATTTTTTTCATCTTTGCTTAAAAATGTTAGAAAGGTGTGATGAAATTACACTGTAATTATATACTCCATGAAAATAAAACAAAAGTTTATGATTTACCACAATTCTTTTTATGCTATTGTATAAATACATATACAGTATCATGGAATAATATGCATATTAAAGCAAAATGATGATTTCTCATATTGTTATCCTCTTTGCTTCAGAAACTACTTTTTAATTAAAGATTACACTGTACATATACATAAAACATCAGTAAATGAAGATCAATTTTTCAGTTTGAGAAAACAGCTGACCATTTGTTTGAGGCAGCTTACCATGGACAAAGGGATGCCATCAATGGTAAATCTTTGAAAATACATTTTAAATATGAATAATTTTGATTTATTGTAGAATTTTCTTAATAACAGAGACATTTTGATACCAAAATGACCAGTTTTTATTTAAAGAAAAAAATGATATACCATTATGATTATGCTTCCAAAAATAAGATTTTAATAACATTCCAATAGAAAAAAAGTCATAATAGATGCCCTTAATCAAATACTTAGATATTTCCCTAAAATAAAAGTGGAACTTTTAAAATGTACAGTGTAAATCCTTGCATGATTTTTTTACAGGGGTCAGCGAGTGCATTATCATGGGCATTCCTATGGGGATTGGCACTGGACTCTTCAAACTGCTCCACAAGTATCCTTTGTTACAATTTTACATTACTAATGCATGTAGTTTAATGTTTATATTTAATGCAGATAATTACAACCTAAACAGTATTTACATGGATGATAGTTATGCTGAGTACAGTAAAACTTGTTTAGTACGATCAGGGATATTGTAAATTTACGGATATAACGAAGTCATCTTAGATCCCCAGCTATATAACTGTAATGAATTTCTTATACGGATATAACGAATTACAGATATAACGAAGTAATATCATAGGTCCCAGTGACTTTGTTATAACTGCGTTTTGCTGTAATACTGAACTGTACACAAAAGTAATAGGTTTATAAAAATTAATCTTATATTAAATACATAAAGTCAAGCATCTTTATCTCAAACTTGATACTTTAAGACATCTGAGAACTTGAGATAACAAGAGGGGGGAAAATGAAGAGTAGTTGGGGAACACATTGATAAATTCTATGTATGTTTCTGTTTGAATGTCATACCAATAAGAAAATATAAACAAAGAAGGTCAAATGTAATTTGATTATTAGGTACAAAGTATTTTCTTTAAACCTTGTCAGTATTGTTTTACAAAGGTTTGTAATTATTCTTTACCGGATTTTTTTGTGTTCCCTTCAGAAGGCTAAAGTCATCAAACATAACATGCAGCTTATCATACTTCACTTCAGTAAATCTATAAAGAAAGTGCTGTTTTTCCTTAATGAAATCTAGAGCTGAGAAGATTGATCCAACACCCCCACGTAGAGAACTGATATTTGATGTACCAGAGTTCCACCTTCCAGGAATGGACATCTCTTAGCAGTTGCTGTATGAACATTGTATTTTTTGTTGTTAAAAATAAAAATCTTCCTGTTCTCTGTGTGCTGCTTCTAGTCAGGACCGCTCTGCTGGTGTCTAATAGTGATCAGTTTTTTCACTCCTCTGCCTTAATTAAAGTGTCCACGGTAATGTTAATCACCCTTAGTCTTGGCTATCGAGAACCTGTGGGTAAAAGTTGTCCTTTGAACTAGCTAAGAACTGTAGCGTTATGGTTTTATTTACAGTGTAATAGTCTCTGTCCTTAACACTACAGATCCTGAAATGCAAAAAATGTGCAATTCATGGCCTGTTAGACAACTTTACAGGGTTGTGAGGGTATAAATTATACATATTGATTAAAAATGTGTCTAGAATTAGGGTGTGAGGGGTAGTTGATTGATCAATGCTGGAACGTGGAGAAATTCTCAAAAGTGAACAAAAAATCTTGCGCTGTAAATTGCACATTTTTTGCATTACGTGATCTGTAGCGTTATGGTCAAAGAGTAATATATAAAACCATAATGCTACATTTCTGCAACTTTCTTTGAACTTAAACCAAATTTCCTAGCTCATTGTTCTAGACTCAAGCAGATCTCTTGAACAACTTGTCCATAGCATTATTCTCCCCTTGGCTCTGTCTGGTTCATACCTCACCCATAGAGTACCCCTTCAAGGCTTGGTTTGCAGTGACCTTGATCAAAGTTTCTAGGTCAGGGGTCAAGATCAAAATAGATCTTTGGGTGAATACTTTGTTGAGAGCACCTTTCCCCTTGGACTGATTTGACACATACTCCAGCCATTGAATGCATTTTGATAGAGGCCGTACTGTGACCTTGAACAAATTGTTAATGAAATAAAAGTAAAATCCTAATCTGGAGTTTATCTACATTTATTATTTATACAATAAGGTTATGTACAGTGTCTTTGTATCACATAATCCCTGACTTTAGAGGATCATAAAACAAACAATTATACACTTTCACTTCATGTTCATGAAATGGATGCCATCATGAATTTTGAATTGGTGTCACCCAAACTAATACTGGGCGTTGACTAAACTTGACCCAGATCCTAAGATTCTCAATCAGTCAATTGTCACCAGTCTTCCTCCATCATATCCCACAAATAATTGGCAATGAAGAACTTGGAAACCTGCTTTCCATTCAGAGAAAATGGTTTGATGTCATTTTTGTTGCAAATATCTGTTACAGTTGAGGAAAATATTAAACAGTAGCAAATTCATGGGTTTTGAGTGCAATTCATACACGAGAACTTTCAGGCCATACAAGGTATTTTGCACATATATGTGTAATTGTATATATAAACAAAACATATTGAAAAAAATCATTTTTCTAGGAAATTTTTATTTAATTTTGAATGATTTGAATGTTATTCCCATGCACCCTGAAGTCTGGACCTTTGTCTTTAGAAACGTCACAATATTTATTACCTTCACTTATAAAGGCTATGTACAAAAAATTTAAACACACATATATTAAAGATAGACAGAAATGGATATCCGTAGGTATCTTGGGTATCATGGCCCTAAAATGTTGCAAAGATTAGATTCAGGTAAAGGATACATCCTTTGATTTCATCAGGCTCACAGTCATACTGCCATCTTATTGATGTCAAAGTATTGTAGAGTTGTACATCATATCTGTTAAAATGTAAAGAAAAAAATTGAATGCAGGGGTGTCCAGCAGTATGGGGAAGGGACAGAAATCCCCCACTCACCCTCATCCCAGAAAAGAATTCAGTCATTTTTCTTCCATGCTCTTAATTTAATCAAAAGATAGGAAGAATAAATTGAAAGAAATTCATTTGTTCAATTTTCAAAGCAAAGATGATCTTTAAAATGGCTTACTTAATCTTGGGGAGTGTATGTGTACTGTTGTGTCTGGCCTTCTGTTCCTCTGCTGTAAGTCTCTCCTGTTCCTCTCGCTGATTCTGTAGAGTTTCCTTTAGTTCTTCACATTTCTTGGTTACTTCCCCTAGGTGCTCTTTTTCTGCCTTTATTTGTTCTTGGACAGTTTGAACCTGATGGATAGCTTCTGTCTTCTCTCCATCTTCCTTCACATTCTCCATCTCACGTTCCTCTTGGTTGATTAACTCTACAGTCATTGTAATGAGCTTGTATTAATTTAGTCATTAACGTTGTATAATGATACAATGTAATACAATTAATAGATTAACTACACAAATCGCAAATTAGACATTTCAGCAATGCGACAAACTTTTAGAAGGTTTAAACATTACAATCTTAATTCTGAAAATAATCTTCCATTTGCCTTTTCAAAAACTTTCTTTCAAGCAATGTAACCAAATTCCATTAGTTGCCATTTCTTACAAAGAACTTTATCAGTCAGGGGCATAACTTAAACAAGTTATTTTCAAAAATAACTCAAATGAGTTATTTTTTTGTCTCAATGAGTTACTTCTCTTTGCTATGACCTACTTTTTTCCAGCCTTGATAACTCAAACACGTTATTTTTCCAAAATAGCTTCAATAAATTAATAACTTGTTTAAGTTATTTTGTGTCATTCCTCCCTAACTTCACACCCCGTGCACCAAAGGATTTTGCTCGTGCACCAAAACAAAAACAAATTCTTGACTAAATTTAAACCTTGCTCAATGCAGGACAAGTGTTCAAAGTCTTGGGAAAAGTGGGGATTTTTTTTATTTAATGATAAAAATTGGACATAAACACCATGTGGATGAAAACATAAAATAAGGAGTAAAATGCTGTTTATCTCCACCTCCTCACCAATTCTCCATTGGAGTCAGTGAACTCCATCTAGTATTACATAATGGAATCCCAAAATGCAATGCAAATTGGCAGGAAACACAAAATTTTCAAGAAATCAATGTCCATGTAGGATATAAAAATAACTTATTTAAGTTATTTTTGAAAAAAAAATTGTTTGTGTAAAATAATGTAAAATAACTTATTTAAGTTATTTTTTTTATAACTTGTTTGAGTTATGCCCCTGACTGTTTATTCGGTAATAACAAATATTTGCCCCCCAAATCAAACTTTGATGGAGATATATTTTATTAGGTTTTTAAACAGGGGAGTATATGCTGACTTCAAAGCACTGAATATTTTCATGAGTAATGACGTCATATGTACGTAATGACGTCACAAACATGACGTAAATTTCAGTTTTTTATGAATTTTACAGAAAAATGTACATATTTCGTCAATCTTTTGAGTAAAAGTCACCGAGCGCATGTGTGCTCAGGATCAATATTTTGATATAATGTGTAGAATGATAATATCAATGTAATATGTGAATATTGTTCCTGAACAAACTTGCGCTCTATAAATTTTAAAGCTAAAATTCAATGTTGAAATTTTGTCCATTTTTTCCTCTTTCTGAAAAAGGATATAAAATCGGACTAGTTTGTGACGTCATAAAAACAAAAATTGTGAATACACTGCTTTGAAACTATAATCATGATAATATTTTCTGTTAATTCATATTTCTCATACAATTTATTTAATTCAGCACATTTCAGGAAGTTTTCAAAATTTGACTTTTGTGGGGGCAAATATATGCAATATACCGCATATAGTTCTTTTACTGAAAACCTTTTTGTAACCTATTCTTGTGACTGTAAGCAACTCTTGTCCTACACACCCTTGACCCTTTGATGTTCTTATACTTTTCCTAATAAGCTCATAAGAATCATCTCCGAAAAATGCAGGTTACCATTCTTGCATTTTAGTTATGATAATTTACCAAGTAACATTTGTGGCATGTTCATGCAGACTGGGTTGACTTGTTGCTAAGCTTGAGTACATGTACTTCGAGTACAAGTCTTGGGCTGTTCATTACATTTATTTAGAAGTCTAACTAACATGTTTGTATGGGGTGCTCTTGAATTAAATTTTGGGGTGAAAGTAGGTACACATACTTTGGTATTCATAAAAAAAAACTGAGGCAATTCATGCATGGAGTGTTCTAATTTTGGGATGTAACTACCGTTATACAAAATATTGTTAAATTATTTTTTTTTCTTCATCAGAGGGAATATTAAGTCATTTTAACTTTTCAATCAAAGTCTGCAAAAGGTATGGTCTTTTGACTCTTTTCCTTTCTTTTTTATTTTGGTCACTCTGGGCAGACTAGCACTTATCCGAACAAGTATGCATGAAGACTCATATTATATAGACAAGAAATATGGAAATAACGATCTGTATTAAAACTCAAAAGTCCAATAAACATTACAAATTTTGGCACATAGCAAACACAGAACTCTGAAACAAGAGGTGGGATCATTTTTCATGAAGAAGTGAGCAATCCCCTGCGGACTGGTGAAACCTGAGGTGTTCTCCTTGTCATATGATTGGGGAATAATCTGTCAGCAATTCAATCAGGGTGTAAATAATGGCCTCACAACTCACTGTTATGTAAAATGTCAGCCAGCATTTGACTTAATGATAAATTGTATTTGCTAACAATCATATAAAGTTGGTATATTAGATATTACCCTGAATCTGTTGTTTTAGCTGCTCTCTTTGTTGCTGTTGAAGCTGGCGGATTTCTCTGATGATGCCAGCACATTTCTCTGTTAGTTCAGTTTCTTGTGACCCTTCGAAGGCTGCTGTAACCTCCTTCCCAAGACTAACAAGGTCAGAAAGTTGTGATTCCTGGCTTTGCATTTTGTTTTTCTTATCTATATGGTAAATGGCAAAAATGGACACTTTTTCAATAAACTAGTAAAATACTTTGTACTTTTTAACAAATGAGCCTTGTTGATAAACCATCACCTCATCACTATGATAAAATGATTTTTTAGAACAAAACATAACAAATTATTCAATTTTATCATTGTCCTCTCTTTGAAAATACCTCAAACATAAATGATAACAAAATGTTCTGTTTACCTTTTTGTAATGTGCGCTCTGAAATAAGACAATAGTGATGATTGGTCAATTTCGAAGCCAAATATCCAATAGTCGTCGATGTAAGTTATCAGTACAAAAACAATCTCCTTGAAAAGAAGAGTTCCAGTGTTTTGACACTCGGAGTTCCTCGGATGACTCGTACCTCGCACATAACCTCGGACGTCAACGGTGATCTACCATCTTGCTGATTCAGTCATGTGATCTTATTTGAATTTCTTTCAAATGTCATACATTTGAAATCGGAGTTATTTTGTGGCACACTCAACAGTTTTTTCTTGCTTTCAAAGCTTACTTACATGAGTTTGTAATCAAAACCTGTTTACGATAAATAATTCCACAAATTAAGAAACATTTTCAAAGAACGTTATGCAGAGCGAAATATGAAATGAGTGATAAGGCAGTTTCCGGCGGAGAAATGTAAGGATCTGATGCGTATTCCTCCACCAATCACATCCGAGGTTTGAATGGAGCGGAGCGGAGTCAGCCGAGGATTGCCGATTGGTGTTTTGATGATGTGACAGACTGACAGTTACTGAGTTAGTGGACGTCAGGAGGAAAAACAACAGAATCAAGGAGCCTGATAGAACAGCACTTCTCCTTTATTGACCTGCCAATGGTCTAATTCTTGGAAAAAGGTTATCTTCTAGGACTTGTAAAGATGACATCAAATCCCAGGTAATGATAATGTGTCTGCAATGCAAATCTTCCAGTTCCAATGTTTCATATCTTATAAGATCTGATTCGATTAAATTGCAAAATATGGTTTTCTTTCATAGAATAAACATTGATTGTAGCTTGTCACGAAGCACTTTCTTTTTCATCTATTGCGTATTTTTTGAAAAATGGTCATCACTTAAATCCATTAACTTAAGTTGAAGCAGATGTTTCCAGACATGAACAATTTTGTGTCATTTTGATATGTTCAGTCAAATTCTGGAAAGATGAAAATGCATTTAAGCTATGCACATGCATAATAAGATGGTTGTCTACTCAAGATATGATTATATGTATGTTAGAAGACACATATTCAACTGCACTCTTGACTAAATTAGCTGAGATGCAGTTCTGTTGAATAAGGCAGTTGTTAATATTTTCAAATACAAACTTCTGATAACTTCAGGCTGAAGTAAATCAACTGCATACATGAATGTGATATTTACCACGGTACACTGAAATGTTACAAATTTTACCCCATTCATGATATGCGGTATCGTGGTCATTGGTGGTACTGTACACCAGAATTCACAAAAAAAAAAAAAAAATGAAAATTTATCCTGTATTTTGAATTGTTTACCAGAAACCACCATAATTGTCACTGTGTTTGGCATGTAAATAAAACATTTTGATTGAAAATGATAAACATTATCTGCAATGATTACAGTGTATTAATTAAAATAAATTGAACTGATTAGAAATAGGTTGAATTTTTTTTAAATAAGGGGGAGGGGTTAGAGTTTTGCTATTAGAAAGATGTTTTATAGAGTACATGTATTAGAAAGATGTTTTATAGAAAAAAGAAAAATTAGAACAACTCTGAATCTCTGTGGAGATTCTGCTGGACTAGATATTTTGACTTATGCTGTGGGCTGTCTAATTATCTACCCAGCAGAATCTCCACAGAGATTATATCAGACTGTATGACAACATGAAATTTTTTGCATATATACATTGCTATATAGCCACAAAATAGTCCATTCTAACACAGAATCAGATAGGTGTTTTTAGTATAATGGGGAAAAAAGACAGACCCTTACATTGAACATATATGGTTTATTGGTTATACAAATGTATCTTACAAGAATAAATTACAAGAAATATGAATTGCCTAAAATAGGAATACTGTTCAGTGTTGGAACATTAATGGTTAAAAAAATAGCATAATTAAAGTTCAGTTCAATAAAATTGAACCAAAAAAAAAAAAAACAAACAAAAACTAATAACAGTAAGTCAGTTCATAGATATATCAATTTTTTTCCCAAAAGTAACCTATTTTTTTAAATCAATACAAATTGACAATGAATGCGACTGCCATTTTTTATTTCATTTGACAAATTCAGCAAATAAAATGGACCTAGTTTGTGGACAAGATAAACTTTTGATTATGTCTTCACAATGCATTGATGCACTTGTACCTCAAATGATTGTTATCAAAATGACTTTGAATTAGGTATTTGTTTATACATTATATTTAGATAAACTTTTGTTTCTTCAGAGAAATGTCATTCAGAAATAATCTATCTACATAAGTAGATAACAAAGAGGTAATTGACATTTGATAAATTTTTAGTGCCCATGTCATGTAATATGTACTAGTTGAACTTTAAATTGACATATATATGCAGTTTTCAAACTGCAAGGGCTAATCAAAGTCTTTTTAGAATACCATACCATTGTTGAAAAGCTAAAAATACAATGTATAATGATAAATACCATCAAGCACTCTGTAACAATTTTCTATAAATTTACAATTAAAAACAATAAATTTTATTCCCATGAAAATTTCTGCTTTATAGTACATGTAATATCTTTTTAGCTTACCTGAGCCGAAGGCTCAAGTGAGCTTTTCTGATCACATTTTGTCCATCGTCCGTCTGTCTAGCTGTCCGTCTGTAAACTTTTCACATTTTCGATTTCTTCTCAAGAACCACTGGGCCAATTTTGACCAAACTTGGTACAAAGCATTCTTAGCTGAAGGGGAATTTAAATTGTTAAAATGAAGGGCCAAGTCCCCTCACAAGGGGAGATAATCAAGAAAAGACAAAAGTAGGGTGGAGTCATAAAAAATCTTATTCTCAAGAACCACTGGGCCAGGAAAGCTGAAACTTATGTGGAAGCATCCTGGGGTAGTGTAGATTCTAAATTGTTCAAATCATGACCCGCGGGGGTTGGGCAGGGCCACAATGGGGAATCAAATTTTTACGTAGAAATATATGGGAAAAATCTTTTAAAAATCTTCTTCTCAAGAACCACTGGGCCAGAAAAGCTGAAACTTATGTGGAAGCATCCTAGGGTAGTGTAGATTCAAAATTGTTCAAATTATGACCCTTTGGGGTTGGGTGGGGCCACAATGGGGAATCAAAGTTTTATATAGAAATATATGGGAAAAATCATTGAAAATCCTCTTCTCAAGAACCACTGGGCCAGAAAAGCTGAAACTTATGTAGAAGCATCCTTGGGTAGTGCAGATTTTAAATTGTCTAAATTATAATCAGTGGGGTAGGGCGGAGTCACAATATGTATTACAAGAGGGAAATCTGGTAAGAACAGAATGGTCAAAACTTCTCAGGTGAGCGATGTGGCCCATGGGCCTCTTGAGAGAAACAAATTGCTGCACATTTGGGGGTAATATTTTATATTTATGAATATTTCAGTACCAAGTCAAAGCCAATGTGGCAGAACTATGTAGCAGACTTTGCCAACATGCTGAAGGCTTTTATTGGGTCCAACTATTTGACAGTGTCATATGCATTTCTTCAAAGTGGTCTGGGGGTAAGCTTTAGAGAACTACTATCTTATTAACTTTTCAATTAAAATTATTTCACAGGAACCAATTCTTATGCAACTCCCCATCCCTCCCCATTTATTTCAGAGAGAGAATTAAGATATAATTTCTACCTGGATAAAAGAAATTTTAAATCAGCTTGTCGAGATTATGTATTTTAATAGAAAGATTAATAAAATTGAAGCACATGTATGATATCAGAAGTGTAAATCTTTTCATGGTTTATTTAATTGATTTTTAAAAAAAAAGGAAATGGCTAAAATTATTACAAAATTATGTTATGTATGGAATATATGTTGTACAGATACTACAATTGTAAAAAGCATAACCTGTAATTTTTTTAATATTACACAGCTTGGATTTGGTGGGTTGCTGTTAATAGCTTTGTTGACTGACCACTGCTGTCACCTAATAGTCAAAACAAAGTACCACGCCATCAAACGGGTAATAGCGATGTATAAAGCTGGAACCTCCAAGACTTCATCCGCTGACAAGGACAGTAGTTCAGAACTATTTTCTTCAGATGAAGATGAAGAAACAGTGATTTATGATTTGGATGAAGTGACTTTAATGGAACAACATTTGTTAAAACACATGTCTTATGGAGACATAGGACAAATCAGTATGGGAAAAATCGGCAGGATTATTGTTAATATCTGCATTGGAGTGACACAGTTCTGTTTTTGTGTCGGGTATTCAATATTTTTGGGAAACACCATTTTCTCCTTATTTCCTTCCAAAGTATGCAATAATGCTATTTTAGATGTAGACAATGTTAGTATTTCTTCCGATGTGCCATCATGTGAGCTTCGTTACCTGGGATTATTACCAAGTTCTAATATCAGACCTGCCAAAAGATCACTTCCTGACTTAATATCAAATGCTTCTTCCCTGGAAAATACAGAAAATACAATGATATCATCATTAATGTCATCAGCATTATTGACTGGAAATCTAACAGATCTTGTAACAACTGCCTTACCATTAAATATATCCTTTTCAACTCTAGCACCACATATCAATGTCACATCTGTGGCCATGTTGAATATTACAGGGGAGGTTACTCAGTCAACAGCTCCAGACTTGAAGCTGCTAGTTTTGTCTCCACTGCCAATCTTCCTGTTATTTGCACTCTTTAGAAATGTTAGAAAGCTGGGCTTTATTAGTGTAATGGCCAATGTCTCCATATTAGTTGGTAGTGCCTCTGTGTTCCTTTATTTAGTGATTGGTAAGTACCTGCATACATAATATCATACTATCTTATACAATTTTATTTCCCAAATTTTGATTCAGTTCAAATTGTGGGTAAAATTTACCTGATAAATGCATAATACAGATATATGTACTTTGATTTAAGTTGTTATTTATGACAATTCCAGATTTCCATGTTCATGATACGATAGTATGGATGAGGTGGGAAGGACTTCCTATCTTCTTTGGAATGGTGACTGCTGCATTTGAAGGGATTGGATTGGTAAGAATTAATTAATATAAAAGAGATAACATATTTTATGTTCATGTTTACATTGCTTAGAAGACAGTATTTTATAAAATTTGTGATGTTTAATGTTGCATTTTGGAAAACTAGGCCTCACAGGATGTTACGTTACATTTAACTTCAACTATTGTAGATCATCCCAGTTGAATCCAGTATGGAGGGAAATCGACACAACTTTGCAGCCTTTTTACATGGAGCCATTGGTGTACTGACCGTGATTCTGGGTGGATTTGGGGTTCTGGGATATCTCCGATTCGGTGAAGAGCTTAACCAGATGCTTAACACTAACATTCCAGCCTCCAGTTGGGTGTCTGTAGCAGTCAATATCTGTGCAATCCTAGGAGTTCTGTTAACATTCCCCTTACAAATTTACCCTGTGATAGAAATGTGTGAAATTTTCCTGTTTTCAGAAGGTAAGCTTGATAGTGTGAATTTTGCCAGAAAAATATGAATTGATTGAAGCATTTGGATTTGAATATTTTTCATTATCAGTTTCTTTGAAGAATTTTCTGCAAGGCATATTTATTTGAAATTTATTTCTGATGAAATATTGTTGGGGGAGATGGGATGAGCTCCCAAAAGTAAGGTTACATTACTTTGAAATATTACTATAAAGTACAAGAGAAAAAACCAAACCTGTTCATGTAAACAGTTGGTAACAGGTGTCTTTTTGACTCAGTTGGAATGGGATGGGAATCTTTGTAACTTGTATGTATTTTAGAGCCATTTCAAAAATTATCAATTTGCATGTAATTTACATCAAAAGATGCCAAACTTTCTAAACAGGGGCCTGCTGTGGACCTAAGAAGAAGACCTCCTTTCTAGATGAGGAGGGGGATGGTAAGGAGTCCCTCCTCCCTGACTCCTCAGATAAAACATCAGCTGCTCTCCCCATCAGTGTGGCAGCCCACATACCCAAGTCGGTAAGAACTTCGTCAATTACTTACAGTTACAATGACCATGGATAGAACTTATCTTGTGAAATTTATACTGATAAGTAATGTAGAATTTGCCTTTTTTTGTGCATTTGAACTGTGGATTCCGCTAACTTTTCGATCAAGCTGTAAATTACTTGCTATTTTAATTATTTTTTTAAAAACAAGATTCGGAATTCTTTCATATATTTATACATATATATTTTCATGCTCATATTTCTATGTTCACTTAATCATAGTTTGCTATTTGGGTAAGTTTAATAAAAAGCAAGGGATTGCTGAAATAACTTTCCAGTATTATATTCATCTTCATGATGTTTTAGCAAATCACTTCTCTGAATAAACAATGGGATCTTCTTTAGATTCGAAATATATAAAATGTACTGTGGTAACTTCAGGTGCCAAAGTCTTGTCAGATGTACAAATACTTAAATGAGTAAGAATTTTATTATGTGTTGGTTTTTTACCAAGATCATTTATGCATGAATTTGTTGAAAACTCTTCCAAGATTATTTAGTTTGAAACCTTTCTTATGTATTTTTTTTGTTCACGTTTTGTGGGCTATTTTGATTGTATTTATTGCATGTACTGATGATGTAATGATGAAAGAGCTTAAAAAAGGAAATTAAAAAAACTTTATAATTCCTTTCACTAATGAAAAAGAATTGAATAATATTGCATAAAAGGAATGAATAAATATGATGTTACGTATTTAAAGGTATTAGGTTACCGAAATAAATTATATAGAGTGGCATTTTACCTATAGGTACCGACCTGGAGGAGGAATGTCTTACGGATGCTGATTGTATTGACAGCTACAGGACTGGCTATTATATTTAGAAATAGTTTTGCTCTAGTAGCAGCATTTACAGGTTAGATTTTTTTCTAAATTATCTACCCACTTAAAATTTGACTTGTTATCAAGCAAGAGATAATTAAGCCGATAAACTGATAATTTAGTAAGAGCAAATTTATAAGAATAACAGTATTGTTTAGAGAGCAAAAGACACTTTCAAAGTATCTATTTTATGGTATGTTTAATGGACATGTACCTCAAAAAAATGTCTGTTACACAATATTTCTGACCCCCATAACTGAAGCAGTTTTGATTTTTTTTAAAAAGTCTAAGACTGCTTCATGACCTTGGAATCATTTTTTTTTTCATTTGAAATTTCAATATGACCAAGTTCAGACATTTATTCCCATTTATTTTAGGTGCCATAGGAAGCTCCATGCTGGCCTACATTCTGCCTTGTTTATTTCATCTGAAATTGTGTCACCGAGATCTGTCCTGGTTCATCTGTATCAAAGACGTCACCATCATCGTCCTCGGAATATTGTGTAGCGTCGTCAGTCTTTACTCAGTCATCATACAGCTGGTCAAAAACACAACTGTTTAGTCTTTCACTTTGCATATCACTTTATCTGTCTTCAGAGTCAGGAGAGTCTATTTATCTTGTTAATTTTCTGAATATTTATGATGCTTTTATTTATAATTTCATTGCTGCAGCTTACACTAAGTGGTGCTGTACTGTTAATGTAACTCATGATCATGTGTTAGTTTTAGCATTCCCCATGCACATTTCAAACATTGTACTTATCGAAAAACCTGGTCTGATCTTGATCTTTTTTAGCGTTTATTTTTGTAAAATGGATATCATAATTACTAAAAAAAAAAATGCAGTGTAGAATTCTTGCTACAAACAAATTTTTAAAGATGCTTGATTCCTGAACAAATTCTCTAAACTCTTCCACAACTTAGAATTTGAAGTCAGTATAGTAAGCCAAGAGCTAAATGTATGTTGTATGATTTGTTTAACTGAGAGAAAAATGATAGATGTATAGAGATATTAAATTGAGATTTCTGTGTATTATATAAAGAAATGATAATAATATCAGTGAAACAAAAATACATGTAATGTTGGAATGTTTGCATTTTTCTGGAGAAATCCTCGAGATAAAGCATAATGGCAATTCTAAAATATTATTATGATTCTGTATCAAATTCAGTATCCACTAAAAGTCTGATATTGTGTTTCTGAAGATGCGCCATCCCCCTCAGCTATGTTATTGTTTGTCTAATTATCATGTTTTTCATTGTTATTTGTTATGCTTATTTTTGTTGGATTTTTTTTTTTTTTGAAATAGAACATATATTTTTAATTGATGCTTAATATTTTTTATATCATGTTACACTATTGTTACAGAGATTGTTATAATATATGATATTAGAAAATCTTTTGAATGAATATACACATGTTTACGTACAAATGCAATGTAGATAATATTACTTCGGTGATTTAGTAAGGTCATATGGTTTATACAGTAAAACAGGCTTATAGCAAAATGCGGGGGACAGACAATTTTGTTTCGATATAACTGTAATTCATTATATACTTACAGTTCACATTATATTTTAAAAACATGGGTAAAGAAATCACTTCACTATAAGCAGAAATTTATTATAAGTGTGTTCGCTATAAGTGTGTTATACTGTATGTGCTTTGTATTTTAATCTGGTAAAATGGAGGATGGTGTGTGGAATTACAGGTAACTTAGAAATAGATTTATCTCAATAACATTTTGTATAAAAAATCTGAATCCTGCATATTTTTTACTGCACAAAATACACAAAGTTCTTTAAACTTGCTCACTTTTGAATATTCACTTTGTGTTTTCATTTGCGTAATGGTCTATATCACCAAACCTCTAGGATTAACATTTGTGTATTCATGACCCAATAGGATTAAAAAAATCAGATCGTCAGTTTGCTACTGTTGAATGTTGCAATATCTTGTATAACAACAATAGCAAAAAGAAGGAGCACAATTAGGATCTGATTTTTATCCTAATGGTTCATGAGCCTGTTCATAGGTGTGTGTGTGTGTGTAAGAAAAATGGAAATTTCTGGGGGTTTTTGCTAACGCTGTCGAGCGCTAGCAACTACGTTAGTCCAAATTCCTGGAACACGCATGCTCGACTTCACGGTCGTGCATTCTGGGAAAACTGTAAAGGTGGCAGAGGATAGTTTCGGATTAAGTAACGGTAAAAAATAAGAATAGAGAAACCTAACGTTTGAATGCATGTTATGTTATAATCACAGACCTTCCTTTCTGTGTTTAAAAATTGCTATGGCGCTAGCTCACCTATCTTTTTTAAAAGATAAACTTGTATTGTAAAAAAGCAATGCATTTAAAGATATTTTTCAGGAAAATCCGAAATGTATTCACAAGAATGTGGTAGAGATTATACCTAAAAAAAGATGGAAATCCATGCAATCATATTAGTTTAGTAGTTTACATATGTATTATTTATTAAGATTGAAAATTTAGTTCAGGTTTCTTATGACATTAATGAAGTTAAAATGGTTGTTCAAATTCGGCATCCTGAGTATATCTTGTATGTATTACACTTGTAGATTGAATGCATACATGTACTTTAAATGTTTCTACAGTATATCAACAGTTGGATGTTGAAACTAGAATGTAACTATATTTTATTCTCAATTTTGCTCAAAAAAAATATTGTTGTATGTATGCATAAATAAATACATGCAGAAGACATATAGGAGTCTTCCACAAATTTTGCTTATTTATATCATTTTACATACATCTGCATTATTGTTTATGGACACAATCAAGTTGAAGTTGAATATTTTTGATTATTATTTTGAAAATGGATGCATTTTTTAAAAACTTTTGACATGTCTCTTTTCATAATAAAGTTTTTCAAATTTAAATTCAAAATCTTTGGACAGTACATGTACCAAAGGACAAGATAGGGTAAGACCCCTATTTGGCCCATAGCTATGATTAGAACAATGCAATAGTTCATAACCAAAAACTGTTGTCATCTCTGTTAAAAATGAATTTTTCCCAGTGTTGGCATGTGCCAATTCAATATCAGTTCAAAACATTAGTTACATATATAGTAAATAATGTAATTGTTATGTTTAATTATGAAAAACATTCCAGATGTAATTGCCAAGACTCTTTTTTTACTCTCAGACATGTAATAAATAATTGAAATTCTTGTTTCCTTTTATTTGAATTAAATAGGTCTCTGTGGTTTGGTTAGAAAAATTTGAACAGAGATTTTGTTTCCTTTTGTATAGCAAATAAAATGCTTTATGGTTACAATTATGATATGATTCTTCAGGTAAATTACACATCTTGGATATTTTTATCATTAGTTAAATACTGAGGAGTGGGTATTGCAGAGCATTATATTTTCATTAGTACAATTTATTGATATTTACAAATCCCTTTTATTCAATTTCTGTTCCTTCGCCAAGCGCTCGGCACTAGAAGTGAAAGTCACGGGTCTTTCGGATATGACCCACGTAGGTCCCTTGTCATGGTTGGCGTTGGCACGATAAAGAACCCTTATTGCTCAATGGCCCTGAGTGCCGAGTATAGGTCTAAATTTGAAGCCCTTTACCGGCATACGGTGACGTCTCTGTATAAACGAAAAATTCTCGAATGGGACGTTAAACAATATACAATCATATTCAATCTTTGTTTGGTTGAATTTTTTGAATATTTGCATTGTGTTTAATTTCAGAATGCATGAATTTGTTTAGATCATAGGGAGTTGTGGTATTCATTGCAAAAGCTTAAAGGATTCTTGAGCTGTCTTTAAACAGAAGTGTGAAACACCTATAGAATGTAAAACTTTATGTCATTGACCTTTGACCTCGAAATCAAAGAGGTCACATCTAGCTCATAGAGAGGTACGGAACAAAATTTCATTAGAAGAGTCTAAAGGCTTCTTGAGATGTCTGGAGACGAAAGTGTGCAGCCCAAATTAAAATCCCCATTTTCAGTGAAAGCAGGAGACAAAAATGCAGGCAAAAGTGGGTTGATCGATAAATTTTTTGTTGTAGATTACGCCAGACGATGGGCCAGATATGAAAAAGAAGACGTTGACACTTTGTCAGAATGGATAAAATATATCAGATCCATGTTGAAATCGCGAATTAAAAGATTGAGGGGCAGTATGAAAACCATCTATCCTTCTGTATTCAGTAATCCGGAAGTGAAAAAAGAATTAAGATAGATTACATGATCACTACGTACTGGTCCCTGTTGACAAAGCAGGTAACAACATTGTCTTTGTTTGCAATGCTCATTATATAAAGTATTTAAGAAGAACTTGGAATTTATTCTACCAGTAGTAATCCAACTTATACTCCTAGTTCCCTTTCAAAGGAAGAAATTTTTTAAAATCATGTCAGTTTTGAAAATTTTTAATATCCCGAAGAACCAAAATGAATTTGAACAACCATATATATACTGAAAGGAAAAAGAAACGCAGGGTAAACTTTTGAGGTTAATTAAATTTATTTTCCTTTTTATTTTTGTCAGTATTCCTATCTAACTTATAAAATCATCTTGAAAGAAAAAGTAACCAATGTCCCATTTGATTTTGTCTTATAATTCATGAGTTATTGAAACTCATATAACGATACCCCCAAAAGTGAAAAATGAAAACTTTCATTATCCTCAATGTCTCCCCTGCGCATATGTCACAGCCTTGATTTTCCTTTTCATGGAATTCATCAGAGTGTTTATCTTTCAGACCTGTATCGGGCATGGGTAACCACGCCGAAAAATTGGTCAAACGACGCACGCAGTGAGAGGAACAAAAACGTAAAGTTGACCGGTGTCGCATAATATTTGGTCCGCCTCGTTTAAAGGTCCGGCCGGACCAAATACGATAACATATTAGGTCCGCCTTTTATAAGAAAAGGTCCGGCCCGTATAAGAAAAGGTCCCCCTACGTTTTAAGGTCCGGGTGGTGCAAAATGTGTTAATCTTGACTTTAACATATGATATTAAAGAGAATCAGTTTATACTATATGATAAGAAGGATTTACCCTATTGTGTTTTATTTTTTGTACAACATACACGTATCTCTAGACAAGAATCTACTCGTTTAGTGTGCTTTGCGCATTGCTGTTTAGGACCATAATTTCTTTAAAAATAATGCCACAAGTATTGTGCAAGTGTTTGTTTTTCCATAGAATTTACTTTGTGTGAATTAGTACGATTAAAGGTGTGAAATCTGTCGGTGTGTATAGCTAATAATACAATGGGGTGTGACGTATTTGTTTACCTGACAGGTATCCACAGGTACAGCCCGCAGCAGATGGCGCTGTCATTGAATGGTCGGTGAACCTAATGGTCATGTGTTAGCTTTATACATCAATAGATTTGAAGTTTTTAAATTAATAAATTATGCTAAGGAACAAAATATTCATGCGTACACTTCAAAACTGCGACATTTATAATAAGTATAATCGTATAGTCTTTACTTGAATATTTAAAGCTAAATATGGCGTATCATAATCTGAACTAAAATTTAAAAATACTAGATTAAACACCCAATTTTATGTTAACGCCCCCAAAATCTACCTGATTCAAGATCAATAATTTACCGCCTGTCAATCATTAAAAAAAAAATAGCTTCTGATTTGATTGACAGCTCAGCTACCTGTGCCTCCTGATAATCTGAGTTTGCATGTTTTGAAAACAATTCCCTGGTCACGCGTCAAACGCTTTCATGTACCCGCATAGTATACACGCGGATTAGAAAACTCCAGTATGTTTGAATTTTATTTCAAAAAATTATTGAAAGTAGATTATTAAAACATTGACATAATAAAATATTTCTTTTCTATCTTCATTGCTATTTGTCACTTGTAAGTTTTATATTGTCCACGTTTATGTAAGGGTTAATGTACGAGTAGCGCTCCATTCCTTAAAAGTAATGCAATATGTTTTCCAAGGCCTCGTTAGCTCAGTGAAAAGTTCTAGCAACTTAGATAGTCCTCTCCCATACATAATATCTCAATAGCCATACAACATTTACAAAATTTTACAATAATATATACATTTACATAGAAGAACAAAGACAATTGTTTTATGAATAAGGAAATAATATCAATTATTAATAATGGTGATAATAAATACAGTGTTGATATTATAAAAATATAATAATTTCAATAGAGATAACACAATTCATTGTTAATTAAAACGACCTGATTCCTGAATAAATTTTTGAACAATACCGAATATTTTTTCATTTTCCTGCGAAGATAAGGAATCATCTCCCCATAGTAATTTATGCACATTAATCATTTTTACATTATTAGTTACTAGTAGTGCATTCATCATTAAGCGTCTAGGTTCAAAATATTTTCTACAAACAAAGAAAAAATGATGACTATCCTCCTTCATACCACAAGAACAATTTGGATTACTTATGATATTACATCTATACAGATCATTATTTAAAATACAATTGTGTAAAAATAAAATAATTTCAATTTTGTATGTAAAATGTTCATTTTCCTGCGAAGAATACCTTCTACCATATGAAAAAATTCATCATTAAGCGTCTACTTTTCTACAAACAAAGGGAGGCTTATTATGATATTACATTTATACAGATCATTATTTAAAATACAATTGTGTCTTTTTTTGTATGTAAAATGTTCTCATGAAAAATACTTATTATCTTTATTATTACTCAATTTTCTTTTAAAACTTCCTATTGAGGTTATTTCCCTTGTTTCATTGCTCAGTGAATTCCATTTGCGTACAGTATCGGGGACAAATGATTTGTTGTATAATTCAAGCCTGCATTTAGGTAAAGAATAATCAAATGAATTTCGAGTATTGTAATTTGAAACAGTGTTTCTAACCATCGGTACAATGTTTTTTAGGTAATCAGGAGCTAGGTTATTGTGGATTTTAAACATTGTTAAAAGTTTGGCTTTGTCTCTTCTTATTATAAGAGGTTCCCAACCTGTTTCAATATACAACGAATTTCTTGATGCTAATACTGAAAGACCAGTCACTATTCTTGCGGCTGTCAGTTGA